GCACTCAAGAGGTAAGGCATTCTAACATTTTACAGTCAAATGATTTAAAGGATTTCAGAACTCATTATATTGCGTAACATATTATCTCCAATCAAGATTATAAAAAATATTTAGCCTAATCTTTATGATTTATAAGCTTATAGATTATATTTTTAAAACTAATTACAGAAATGAGGCATTGAGTTAGGTAAGTAAACTGCCTCTTCATTATCTTAGACAAAAAAGAAAATGCTGTTGTGTTCAGCAAACAATTCGATTTTTTTTTTTCGAGTTTTAAATGTTAAAATAGCTGATTAGGATTCTCAGTTCTTTAAAATAAGCAGAATGTCTAGTTATTTAGGAAAAGATATGTTTTGTTGGTATATTCAGCAAAACAAGATTAAGATATTATAGCATGAGCCGAAAATTTTGATGCATATGAAATACTCATTTTTCTTTATTATGTTCTCTTTTGCTTATCATATGTACATATTTCGTTTCGTTCTTGTTTATTATCATTACCTGTTTTGGTGTTGTGTTTTGTTACATCTTGGCGATAAAACATCACAAATATATCAGCCTTTCCGGATATGGACCCGGGGTGAAATGAAAGAATATTTAAACGGAGCAAACTTTTTTTTTTTTACTTTATGTATGCTCTCTCTCTCTCTATCGAGAAGGAAGGTAAACAACGTGACACAATGGCCACGAAATTAGGGTAATGAACGCAAAGTGTATCAAATCTATTCGATTAATGATGTTCTTCACTTTAATTATGTACATGCTACAGGCGTTTTGTCATGATGCGCACCGTCCTGTTGCCGTCCATGGCCGCGAGGTCCATCCCCCGGTCGCCCTCCGGCGTGGCCATGTCCAGCGTGTAGCGGGTCTCGTAGCCCAGGCCAAGGAAGATGCGGCCCGAGAGCACGTTGGTGATCGTCGTGAATGCCAGCTGGCAGCCCAGTTCCTTTCCGCGCTCCATGGTGACCTGTTTGGGGGACACTTCTATGTTAGGGCTTTTAATCAGCTGACACCGCACCTCGTTTATATATGCATGCATACAAACAGATGCAAAGCACACACACATGCATACTTTTACACGAATGCACAGATAATATTGATACTATAATACAATAAACGTGTGTTTTTTTATAAGAACAAGTGGACTTTTAAATAGAGGTGTATATTTTATATATATATTTTTTTTTTGTGTTGTACACAAACATAACAACTGTTCTTAATAATGTATATATGTGTGTATGTGTTTGTGTGCGTATGTCCGTGTGTGTGTGAGCACACTCACCTGAACCAGCTTCTTCCCAATGCCGCGGCCGCCGTAGTCGCGCCGCACGGACAGCATGTACATGTACAGCACCTTTTCTACCCCAGGGTCTTGAAACACGTCCACCTTGGATCCCGCTTCACTTACGATTCCTAATACTCTCTTCTACAGAGAAACGAAAGTAGAATTTCAACCCACTAATCTTGCTCCTTTAGACTTTTATTTTTTCTCTATTTTTCCTGTAAAATACTACATAATATCACCGTTGTTAGTATTACCGTCGTCGGGTATATTGCAGCACATTAATTAGCCCTCAGAAGTAATATCAAATCAGTCTGTCATAAAGATAAATGATAAGACCCACCTCGAATTCATTCGTCGGTTCAACATGCGAGTCATCCCCTTTGGTCTGTATGTAACTTAACCTGACACCGACTAAGGCCCCTGTGCTGGCATCCTTGGCACCGATAGTCACTCCGGAATCGAGGCACTTCTTTAGCCCGCTGCCTATGGCCCCCTCTGTTGCCGAGCCGCTCAAACGGGAGCCCATGGACTGAAAACGACAGTTTGTTTCCACTGTTTTAGGAATGCCATGTTTTTTTTTGTTTTTTTTTTTACTGGCTAATGGTTAAAACAAATAAATGTGCTAGATATCAAGGGACATGTAGCACTATGGTAAAGTAAAGGATATAAATGAGTTAACGGCAGGATAAGTGGATAGAAGAAGGGGATGGAGAAGAGAGGGAAAAGGACTTGGGGAGAAGAAAAGACCATGCGGAATTAATTGTGGCGAGAGCTGAGGTCAAGGTAAGGATGATCCCCTACATTGAGCCTTACCCCCCCTCTCTTAAGCCCCCACACGACAACAACGAGCAAGACATTGGGGGTACTGGTTAATAAACCTCCTTTACTCATTACTATTTTCCAGACTTCCATGTACTGAAACACACAGAGGATTAGGCAGTATGGGACTCACAAGAGGCTCTCGAGTTAGAAATTCATCGTTGATCAGCTTGGCCACCTCCTCGAAGGCCTCGCGTCCCAAAACCACGTACTCGATGCCCTTGGCGTCTCCCATTTCTGTCAGCGAGGTCGTATTTACTACACTGTGGGCGGAATAATATGGTACTATAAGAAGGTACAGCGGAATCAAAATCATCTAAATATCCAGAGTAAAACTTTAGGCAACTACGGTCAGTTCCCTTTTTTTTATATATCGTTGAGTAATCATCTGAGGAA